CCATCCCATCCCATCCCATCCCATCCCATCCCATCCCATCCCATCCCATCCCATCCCATCCTGTTGCATCCATCCCACCCCATCCTGCCTGCCCAGGACCTCTCTACCAGAGCAAGACGCCCAGCAGGAATTGCTGTTCTTTGCTGAGCCCCTGTCCCCCGGTGCTCCCCTGCAGCCCCCGTTCCCGCTGTCCGTACCGGCGGAGCTGAGCACCCGGCAGGCCTGTTCGTGCCCCATGCGCTCCAGGCAGCCCAGCAGGTACCTGAGGGTGCAGTCGCGCTCGGCCAGGAGCTGCAGCAGGCACTGTGTGGGGCTGCCGCGGGGCTCCAGCACCTTCAGAGAGCACATCTCCAGCTCCTCCGCGCTGCAAGCGCCCGCAGCCGTCAGAGCCACAGCCCCGTCCTGCCGGGGCCTCGGCGGGGCCCCAGCCCGGGCGGGGGAACTGAGCCATGCACCCCTCGCCCAGCCCGCGGCACAGCCGAGCCCACGTGCGTTTTGTAACCCGGTGGGAACGGTCCCCGGCAAGGCTCCCCAGCCCTACCTGCACTTGAAGCGTTTCTCGGCCCCAGCCAGCTCGGCCAGCTTGCGCCAGCCCCGGCCCGCATTATCCAGTAGCTCACACAGCCGGGCCACCACTTCCTCGCCCAGCGAGCCGATGGGCATGCTCCAGTCCGCCATCCCTCCTGGGGACACCGAGGGGACGAGCTGTCAGGGGGTGACGGGGTGACACACACCTGTGCCCCGCCGGACCCTCTGGGCACAGGATGACTCAGAGGGGAGAACAATGAGATCCCTGGTGTCAGGACAGGACCTGACTGGGCTGCACTGCTGGATCTGGCCACCAGCAGCCAGCCAGGAATGACATACTCTCCCATTCTGGGAGCTGGGTAGCACGGGGAACCCTGCTCATACTCACAACCTTGGGCAAGGAGCCATGGTACATTAGCCCAGCCCCATGAAAGAGACCTTCATGGAATGGGGAGTCCATAGAACAAGAAAGAGGGGATGGCCCTCATCACCTTCTCTGTCCTGTAAGGTGACACAGAGAATGGGGCCCCAGTACCCTTCTCCTTCTGGCAGAGGCCCCAGCGGGGCAACAATAGCCCTCTTGCTATCTGTATGGTGGCTCTGGAGCCATTGTGGGGGCCCTACAGGGGGGTCAACATAGGGTACGTGGGGATCTTGGGACTGGGACTCAGCTCAGCTTGCCGTGAATCCTGGGAAAGGTTTCAGTGGGACATGAACCACCTGGACAGGGCCAGCTCCCTCCTCCTCCCCTCAGGTCCCTTCCCAACAATCCACCCCAGAAGGGCCCTTGTCCCTAGGACTGAGCTGCCCAGAATAGCTGGGTGACACTCACCCAAGCAGGAGGCTCCAAGACAGAGGACAGGGCCCCAGGTGCTCCGTCGGCTCACCTGCTGCTGGATTTGGGATCTCGACACGCTGGGGGTGGCGAGGGGAGGGTGAACTGCAGGCCTGGCAAGGATGGGCACTCACCACGGGGTATGGCCGAGCTCCATCAGCTCCGAGGATGTGCACTGAGCCCCACTCAGAGGAAATGAGGGTTCAGCCCAAAATCTCCCCCAGGCCCTTGTGCCGCAGCACAGCACTTCTGCTTCCCTCCCTCTTCCTTCCTGTTGCGCAGTGCGTGGGCGCAGAGCTGCCACCCCGGCCACAGCCCCGGGGCAGCTGGGCACAGCCTGGCCCTGTCACCCTGTCACAGGGCACACAGCCCCAGGGCCACCACCAGGCCAGGCAGAGGCTACACTATCCCTTCCTCACTGCAGAAACCCCACAGGCACCTCTTTTCCCCTAAGCCAAATTCAAGCCCAGAAGGAGCTGCAGGGCAGCACGTCCAGGGTGAAGGTGAACTGAGCTGACAGAGGCACCTCTCAGCCAGGTGTGCCCAAAACACTGGCAGAACTGAGGCCAGGAGAAGCTGCTGGGTAGGGCTTCGCCCAAGGAGAAGCAGAGATAGGTCAGTGAGGCCCCATTGCTGTGGGGAAGATCCTGCCTTCATCATCCAACGCAGCCAAGCCCCGGCATCCCAGCACCACTGCTCCTGCTGCTGGAGGAGGAAAGGAGAGCATGGTGTCAGGTGGCTCTGCAAAGGGCCACCATGTCCCCTCCCTCACCTTGCCTGCTGCCCCACACAGCACTGCCAAAGCCTGACCCCCATCCTTCCAGCCCCAGGGAGCACAGGCTGCTAAGGCCTCAAGATCTACCAGGCAGGGTCACAGTGACATGGGTGGGTCACTCCCCACCCTACATCTCCATGGAGCCCTCAGCCCCAGCTGCTGTGGTACAGCCGGTGATGGAGCAGAGAGCAGGACCTGTGTGCAGTGTGGGCTCTCTCTGTGACCCAGAACCCGAGCCTAACAAACACACTGAGACCTTGTGGCCTGTGTTGCCTCAGCCCTTGGCATGGAGGGGACCTGAACCAAATTTGCACAGGGTCTGGGTTTGTCACAGCCTTTATAACAGATATAAGCCTCACCATTTATTATTTATTTATTATTTACAGCAAGAAGAGACCAAAAGCCAGGGCAGGTCCCAGTGCCACCTGTGCTGGCACACGGAGAAGCCCCAAGCTCAGCAGCACCTACAGCTTCTTGCCCTTCTTCAACCTGTTGCGCTGCCATGTGTTGTATTTCCGCAGGCGCCTCCAATACTCGAGTGTGTCGGGGTCGAGCTCCTCCAGCTTCTTGGGGGGCCCGAGGTGGATCTTAAAGAGCCTGGGGGTGAATGCAGAGAATGTGAGGCTGCGGGAAGGACAAAGGGACAAGCACCGGATGGAGCAATGGACATGAGTGACCAGAACATGCAGATCCTTCACCCCACATCCACACTGCACCCACTCCTGGCTCCTGGCAGTGGAGAAGGTGTCTGGGTTGCATAGGAGTAGTCTGTCTCCTCTCAGAACACTTCCTTGTCCCTGGAATGGCAGCTCTGTTGGTACACAGAGGGGAGTGGGGCAGCACGCACCAGTCGGGATACTCGGAGTCGGGCTTCAGGGCCACCTCCGGACCCTCCTTGAAGTAGTTGACCCCCATGGCGTGAGTGGCGAGCATGGTGGGGTCCGTGCACACCTCCGGCCCCTTCAACGCCTCCTTCGGCACCCCCTTGCCTTTGGACTTGGCGGCTGTGGGGGAAAGGGCAGCGTGAGGGCAGGGGGTGTGCCGAGGGACAAGGACGCAGACAGGGGAAGGGATGGGGACTCGAGAGCAGGGGCATCGCGGGGGGGAACAGGCACAGGTGTGAGCGTGAGGAGCACGAAGAATGGAGCTGGGGCGGCAGCACCACCGGGGAGGGCGCGGGGCTGGGGACCGAGACACGGGGTCGGAGCGCGGGCAGGGCAGGGCCGGTACCAGGGGCGAGAAGCACGGCACCGGGGCACGGAGGGACGGAGCGACCCACGGGGAGACACACGGGGCCGAGACCGAGGAGCGCGGGCCAGGGCCGCTGATCGTGCGAGCCTCACCGGGTTTCTTGGCGTAGGCGCGGGACGGGGCGCGGAGCACAGCTCCCACCGCCCGCAGCAGCCCCCCGGCGGCCATGGGCGCGGGGCACGGCGGGACCGGGACCAGGGCGGGGCCGCGGCCGCGCCTGCGCGGGGCGAGCGGAAACGACGTGGGGTCCGTCCCGTCCCGTCCGGAGGCGCCGGTAGTGCCTGAGTCCTCCCGGGCCGGGCTCCCCTCGGGCCGCCGGCCCCATGGAGAGCGGCACCGCCATGGACTTCCAGGGAGCCACGCTCCCCGCCCCCGGCGGCGGCAGCAGCGATGAGGCCGCGGAGCCGCGGGCCATGGACACGGAGGACGGGCCGGACGCCCCTGGGCGCTGTATGGGGGTCGGGCGGTCGGAGGAGCTCTCCCGTACCGCCCCGAAGCCCGGCAGCGGCTCTGGGCTAGAGGCGTCGGGGCCCGCCGCAGCCCCGGAGCTCGCGGGAGGCGCGGGCGGACGGACCGAGCTGTGCCGGGGCTCGGGAAGAGCGATGGAAGCGGAGGCGGTGCCCGAGGTGCCTCAGGGCTCTGCCCGCTGGGAGCCCAGCGCCAGGAGCGCCCCTCGGGGCACGGGGCGGCCCCGGACCCCCAGCAGCGCCGACCCCGCGGGCATGGAGCTGGACGAGACCCCCGAGCCCCGCGCCCGCCCGGGCAGCACCGAGTGGAGCGAGGATGTGGAGGACGAACCCTCGGAGATCCAGGGGCTGCTGACTCAGCTCGAGACCCTCGACCCCAAACTCCGCGACCACTCGTCCGCCCCAGAGCAGGGCTCGCCATCCCCCTCGGGCGCTGGTGCCCGGCGGGGCCGTGGGCAGTGCCCGGGCAGGTGCCGGCCGTGCCCGCTGCACGTGGCCACGGGCCGGGGCCTGGCGATGCGTCCCTGCTGCCCTCAGCACTCCGCCTGCGAGCGGCCCTGCCACGGGCTGCTCTTGGCCGAGGCTGACCGGGAGGACTTGCTGAGCCTCCTGTGCTACGAGGGGGGGCTGCCCAAGAGTGATGCTGAGACCCCCTTGGCCCGCTCCGATGTCCTGGCTGGGACCAACCTGGAGATGCTGCAGGCTGAGGAGGAACCAGCCAATGTGGAGAAGCCTGAAGGGCTGGGGAGGCCAGAGAGGTCGCAGGAAGAACCTTCTGGCAGCTGGTGTTATGGAGAGGGGCTTTGTGAGGACGAATCTGCCTGCGAGGGTGCTCAGGAAGGGTCCCCGGAGTTGGCGTGGGCAGTCCTGCCTTCCGCTCTGGCCCCCGGGACAGAGCAACCATCTCACAGCGCTGTGACCGTGAGTGCACTGTGCCTTGGGCTGAGATGGGGCAGCAGGAGCCAGGACATGCACCTTGGCTCTGATCCGTCCTGGGGTCTGGGATGGGGACAAAGGAGAGCCAGGGACGACTTTCCTCAGGTCTTACAGGGCTTCATGCTGTGAGATTGCCCGGACAAGACTCTTTGGCCCTGAATGCATGCTTGCATGGCTGCCTGATTGATGTGTGCCCTAGGGCAGAGACCGGTGGGTCCAAACAGCCCCTCTGGTCCTGGGATCCTGTGTCATCCTCTCCTCCAACCCCAGGACCCTGCGCTAGCACCCCCACAGGCCTAGGACCCTGCTCCTCCCTGTCCAACCCTGGGACCCTGTGCTGTTTCCCTCATCCCCAGGGACGCTCTGCTCTTGCTGTCCCACTGCTCCAGGGCCAGGCAGGCTCAATCCCTGAGGTCCCAGCCATGGCCTCACTTGCTCTCTCATTGCTTTGCAGAACAGGGAATCCCCATCATCCTGCCCAACCTTCAAAGAGGGTGAGTTGTTCCTGTGCTTGCACAGCAAGAGCTGTCAGGAGTTCTGACCCACCTCCTCTGACCCTGAATGGGGGTGGTCTGGGGTCCCAGTCGGGGAGGGAACAGCCAGCTCTTCACCCATCCATAGTGGGCGCACCAGGCTCCGTATGGCTTGTTTGAGCCTTTGTTGAGGAAATGGAGGTGCATCAGGGATCAGGGAGGGAGTATACTTGGGGAAAAGGGATGCCATGTGTTCCCACGGGAAGAAGGAAGCAGCCCTGGACCCCCAATGATGCCAAGTGCCCATGTACCAAGCACTGAGCTGCTTCATCATCTGTAGGAATGCAGCCAACAGGCAGCAGGAGTTGGCACCCCCAGTTTCAGAGGTGGGGGAGCAGCCTCTGCTCAGTCCCTCCCAACACCTCAGTTCCAGGCCCTTGTGACCCAGAGGACTTGCTGGATGGTGTGATTTTTGGGGCCAAGTACCTGGGCTCCACACAGCTGGCCTCAGAGAGGAACCCCCCAACCAGTGTCCGCATGGCGCAGGCCCAGGAGGCGGTGGACAGGATCAAGGTGCAGGAGGGATGGGGGGCATGGCTGCCCTGAGCCTTGCTCCCTTGTGGATGTGGGGCAGTGCTCAGGATCTGCCTGAGGGCACCTGGTTGTGGGGCTGGGTTCCAGCAGCGTCCTGTGACCTCTCCATCATTCTGCAGGCACCTGAGGGGGAGTCCCAGCCCATGACAGAAGTGGATCTGTTTGTCTCCACACAGAGGATCAAGGTGCTCACTGCTGACACTCAGGTGAGCAGGGACGGCAGTAACCATGTGGCTCTGTGGCTGCTTCAACATTCCTGTTTGGTCTCAGGATCTCAGCTTTTCTCCCACACCAGCAGGGTCTTGCTCAGTGATGGCCTATGGATGAGGACACACGTCTGGGAGGAGACGTGTCACTTCATAGCCCTCCTGTGTCATGTCCTTGCCCTTCTGTGTGGTTGCACAAGGCTTCCCATGCGACCTATACCCTGTGGAGCTGCTGGGATCCCAGACCGAGCTCTGGGGAACCCAGGCTTGAAATCTGGGGAGCTGTATGCCTCAGGATTAATTTCTGCATTATAGCAACAGGGAAGACAGCTCTTCCCAACACCAGGAACACAAATGAGTCCTTGATGAAGGATCTGTTCGTACCTTTTGGCAGACATGGTTTCTGCCCAGCACCATGGCCAAACCCTTCCTGCTTGCAGTGCCAGCAGGCTCGCAGCTGCCCACATTGTCTGACAGCCCTGAGAGGGCTGAACTCTCTGCCTGTGTTCCCCTTGCCAGGAGGCTATGATGGATCACTCCCTCCAGACCATCTCCTACATTGCCGACATCGGCTCCCTTGTGGTGCTCATGGCACGCCGGAAGCTGCCGCGGCGCTCGGAGGCAGCGGAGGAGAAGCGGCTCTACAAGATGATCTGCCACGTCTTCCACTCGGCTGATGTGAGGCAGCACATGGACCCCAGGGGTGGGCAGGTGGCCCTGGGGACCTGAATCCCATCCCCCTGTGATAACTGGGTGTTCCGTGCTGGGGCTGAAGCAGAGACTGCTCTCTCCCCACAAGGGAGAGGGCAGGAGCCCAGCCTGAGCATCTCTGTGACATGCAGAGGCCCAGCGAGCAAAATGGAGGAGAGGGTTGGCTCCATACAGAGGCCCATTCAGGCAGGGAAGGAGCCAGGACACCCTGGAGCTCCCAAGGACGATTCCTGTCCTGGGCACTGCAGGGCACTGGAGCTGTTGGCTGCAGCCCTGAGCCATAGGCAGGAACAGCCCCTCTTGTTCTCCAGGCCCAGGTCATCGCCCAGGCCATTGGGCAGGCATTTGGCGTGGCTTACCAGCGCTTCCTGGAGGCCAACAGCATTGACCCGAGCGAGCTGAGCCCACGCCAGTACAGCCGTGCCCTGGAGGACCAAGAGCAGTACAATGCAGAGCTGACTCACTTCTCCCAGCAGGAGAACTGCAAGGATGTAAGAGCTGCTCCGGGGGGTGGGGACAGTGTAGGGAACCCACTGGCACCTCTGTGCCTCCCTGTGCAGTTGAGGTGCTCTCTATAAAAGCAGACCCCACCCCATCCCAGCCAGCTGTGAGCACAGCTGTGGGCTGGGACATGTGCTCCACGACTCTGGTGGAGGTTACGAGCCTATCCCACCTGTTCGCCCCCAGGTGTGCATCCGGAAGCAGAAGGGGGAGATCCTGGGCATCGCCATTGTGGAGTCGGGCTGGGGCTCCATCCTGCCCACCGTGGTCATCGCCAACCTGATGCACGGGGGCCCCGCAGAGCGGTCGGGCGAGCTGAGCATTGGGGACCGCCTCATGTCAGTCAACGGGACCAGCCTGGTGGGGCTGCCCCTGGGCACCTGCCAGGGCATCATCCGGGTGAGCCAGGGCAGGGTGACCTCCTGCCTCACCCCAGGAGGGAGATGAGGACTGGCCTGAATGATCTGGGAGTGTCTGTGACACCGGGATTCCCTTAGGGCCCCCACCTTTGGAGGCAGGTGTGCAGAAGTCATACCTGCCCTGCAGGCTGTGACAGTTCCTGCTCAGAGTGCTTGGAGGAAGGCAGGGACAGAGCTGGGGACTGTACTTGCTGTGGCTCTGCCTGAAAACGAGGGTGGAGGAGGAGACAAGCACCTGTCGTGAAGGGAACTGGTTGCATCATCTACCTCTCAGTAGGATGGGAAGGAGCTGAAAGCAAGGACAGCATAGCCTCAGGGGCAGGGGTGTCTTGGGCTGGTTTCTAAGTTCTTGTCCCTGGATTTGTATTTGCAGTATCCCTTTGTGTGCCTGAGTTGCTTCATTGAAAACAGGTTGCTAATCCTCAGCCCTCACGTGAGCAACGTGGTTGCATTGCCCCTCAGCCAGTCTGAATAGCTTTCCAAAATCTCACCAAGCCCCATCCCACCTTCCAGGAGCTGAAGCACCAGACCGAGGTGACACTGAACATTGTGCACTGTCCCCCTGTCACCACGGCTGTCATCCGACGCCCCGACTCCAAGTACCAGCTGGGCTTCTGTGTTGAGAACGGTGTGGTGAGTGCTTGTGGGATTGGAGCTGGGCCAGGGTCTACCTGAGGGACAGGCAGAGCTGGCTGTGTCCAGGAACCAGCGCCCAGCTCCCACACTCCATGTGCTTGCCTGGGGCAAGGGCTCTGCTGTGCACAGCAAAAAGCTCCTCACAGCCTTTTTGCAGCACTGATGGTTGTAGCCCTTTACCTGGTGCTCTGTAGCTGTTTGCTTTCAGGGCAGAGGCTTCTTCCTGACTTTCTGGGCATGACCCCAGTGGCAGTTGTTGCTGTATCCTGTGCCCAAGCCACTCCCTGCCCCGGGCTTTCCTGTGGCTGTTGAGAAGGCAAAGAGGGGCATTCCTGAGTTCAGTGGGAGCTGGGTAGGTGGGTGGCATGGCCACCTCACACACCAGCTGGTGCTCCCCCCTTGGACTGGAGATGTGGGTCTCTCCTGATGCCCCAAGGAGAAGCTCAGTGTCTGCAGCCCAGGCCTGAGGGGAGGAGGAGGGTTCAGTGAGTGGGGCACTACAGCCTTGTCAGCCGGGGGACAAAATCCCCCGGGGCTGCCCTGGCCCCAGCTCAGCACATCAGTCTGGTGGAAGCAATTCACAGGGAGGTCCCTGCCCTCACTGCATGCCCAGGCGCTGGAGGAGGTGTGCACCCACCCCAGGCAAGAGCTCTGGCCGGGACCCTACAGGGCTGTGAGGGTTTGGAGCAGTGATGACACAGGGCTGGGCTGTGGGCACAGCCCTGCTCTCACAGCACTCCCTGGTCCCAGATCTGCAGCCTGATGCGTGGGGGCATCGCAGAGCGGGGTGGCATCCGCGTGGGGCACCGCATCATCGAGATCAACGGGCAGAGCGTGGTGGCCACGCCACACGACAAGATCATCCAGATCCTCACCGAGGCGGTCAGCGAGGTGAGCCGGGCCCCCATGGAGCCGCTGGGCTCAGAGCTGTGCACCAGCACCCTCCAGCCCCGGCTGGAGTTTCTAATCTGTGCCTCTCTGCCTAGGTGCACATCAAGACCATGCCAGCCTCCACGTACCGTCTGCTGACAGGGCAGGAGCAGCCCCTCTTCCTCTGAACCACCGTGCCTGGGGCAGACAGGAGCGAGCCCAGGGCCGCAGGAGCAGGACTGACTCTGCCTTTTTCCCCAGCCCTGCATCAGAGCCCTCAGCAGGACCTAAGTCTGCACCTCTTTTGTTTTACTCAGGACACACTGGGGGCTGATACCAGCCTGAGTAGCATCAAGGCCTGTGGTGCCATCCATGCTTTGGGCACCTCTCCCCCTCCAATTACCTCTCCCCACCTCCCAGTGCCTGAACAGTGCCTGTCCTGCACACGGCCCCTTGCCTTGGCCTTGTGCTAGTGGGAGGAGAGGGGGCCCTATGTGAAAGTTCCCCCCATCCAGTCACTGACTATTGTAATTTTACACTCACCAACGGTGCCTTTTCCCGAGGTGGGGATGGTGCTGGAAGCACAGCTCAACTCCAGAGCTCAGCCAGCACAGCCCCAGAGCAGCACTGACCCTGCACACCCATGTGTAAGTGTACGCTGTACCCCTGAGGGATACTCAGCAGCTCCCAGACTCGGCCTTGGAGGCAGAAGTACTCTTGGTACCTCCTTCTGTGGCTTGGCCAGAGGCCTGTTGGGGTGCAAACTCTCCGTTAGACACATTGCACCAAGCTGGGAACCTGCCTCAGCTTTTTCCTGGTGCTGCCTTGAATCTCTGCATGCACAGCCTGGCCCAGAGCCACAGCTCTTGCAGCAGCAAAAGGGAACATGGCATTGCCCAGCTCCACATCCCATGGGCTTGGGGCTGTGAGCCTTTTTGTGAGCAGCTCTCTGGGCCCCCAGGGCTGCAGCAGTGCTGACCTGGCTGTACCTGTGTGCTTGGTTGCTCTAAAAATAAAAATTTTGGGAAATATGGGAGGCTGCATTTGAGGAGCTGCAGGGAGACTGCAGTAGAGGAGGCTCTGCTCTGGGGGGCACATCCCAGGCCTGCAGTGGTGCCAGGCCCCAATTCCCCCTGCAGTGCTTTATCATATGTAGGGCCACTGGCCAGGGAGGTACCTGGCCATTGTATGCAAGGCCACCCTCCTGCAGTGTTCCCTGTATGCTGCCACCCAGCAGCCCCAGAAGCAGTCCATCCTGATCCAAACATCCCTTTTATTCCAGTAGCAGTGGCTGTGGCAAAAGGGAAGGAGGTACATGATAGTGCAGGCACTTGGTGATGCAGGGTATAACAGGATTGGGCCCAGCCCAGCCTGGCCACAGGGGCCCTGCCTGAGCTGGCACCTGCACCCAGTTGTGCAGGGCTGTGGGAAGGACAGGCCAGCAGTGCCACTACACATCTGTGGCTGGGCCCCACTCGTAGCCTTCATCCTGGTCCGAGTCATCTCTGGCCCGTGTGAACCTCCTCCTCACCGCCTCGTGTTCGTATTCCCTGGGGGACAGGAGGGTGGTGATGGCTCTGCATGACAGGGACAGTGCCCTTCCGGGACTGTCCCCAGCCCTTCGTAGCTGCCATCCCCACCCCAGATGGGTGTGATCCCATCAGGGTACCTCATGCTGTCATAACGCCTGCCCTGCCGTGACCGTTCGGGCACCTGTGGAAGAAGAGGTGGGAGGGTTCAGGGGCTGTCCCAGAGCGGGACACAGACACACAGCTGGACCCTACAACAGCCAGAGGTGACACCCTGCTTGTGCCATGAGGATGGAACTATGCTCCAGAGCCAGGCACTGTGCCACCCTCTTCTGCCCCACTGGGCTTTTGTACCAGTCTGGGACAACCCACCTGTTCACTCTGGCTGTGGCTTGGGGCCAGCTGTGTTGGCTCGGAGGAGTCCAGGCCATGGCTCGGGGCCAGCTGTGCTGGCTCAGAGGAACGGGCCAGCCCAGGCTGGTCATAGGCATCCTCTGCCTCGCCATCAGTGAAGGCGCCCGCCTCTCCATCCGTGTCGTCGTAGTCACTGTTGGCGTGGCTGTCACATGTCAGGTAGCCTGAGGCCACCGTGCTCGGTGGGTTCAGCAGTTCCAGACTGTCCTCAGGTGCTACATCTGCCTGAGGGGTGGGGATGATGGACACATGGGACCCCAGCCATGGGGAGCCATGTGCAGTCCCATCACCTGCCTGGCTGCAGCCCCAGGAAGCCAAGCCTTGCCACAGAGAGCCTGTGCCCCATACCTGCTCTGCTGTTGTCCAGACAGGCTGGTTTTGCTGTGTCCTTATGATGTCCTGGATCTGCTCGTACCAGGCATTGCCACTTCCACTGAGGCTGATGGTGGCCGTGAAGAGGTGGCTGCAATACTTCTTCATCTTGTTGGCCTGGGCATAGAGGCGCCGGGAACTCTTCCTGGAGTCAGGTGCCAGCCACTGCCGCATGGCCTTGATGCCCTGCCGGCTCTCGGGCTCACAGAACACCACCACTGGGTAGTACTGCACGTAATTGAGGCGCTCCACAGCCGAGGGTGTGATGTCCAGCAAGGCGTGCTTATTCTGGGGCAGGGCACAGCCATCAGCCCTGCTGGGAGCAGGGATGGGGGCCATGGGCTTTCCACAGGCCCCAGCTGGCTCCAAGGACATGGGAAAGGTCTCACCTTTTCTGCAATCTGCCGCACAGAGTCCAGCTTGATGACCTTGGACGATGCCCCATCTCGGGGCACGCTCGCTGCAGGACACAGAGACGGGGCATGAGAGGGGCTGCACCTCCAATAGTCCCAAGCTGGACACGGCCATGCCCAGTCCCAGGGCTGTGTCCCTCAAGGAGAGGAGGGGAGAGGGTGAATGAGCCCAGGAAGGTGTTGGGGCGTCATAGGGAGGGAGGCAAAGAACTCTCACACTGCCTGCTGGATATCATTTTCTCCTCAGTGGGGGGGGGGGGGGCACTTACGGGCAATTTCGAATAGCTCGGGCAGCTCCCTGCTCAGCTTCTGCACAGCAATGTCTGCAATGGGGCCCAGGATCACCACTGGCCGCTTGAAGCTGGCTGTGGGAGGACAGAGGTGCTCAGGGTGGCTGGGGGCAAGGGCAGAGCTCCCAGCACCCAAGCACCCAGCCCCACTACTCATCGTGCCCACAGGTCTACAACTTGCTCTTCTCCCCCAGGAGAGGAGGGCCCATGAGCATGCACAGCAGGGCAGCCCCAGGATCAATGTCCCCAAGGTGGGTCAGGGTGTCCTGGTGCTCACCTTCCTTGAGGACCACCCTCTCATATGGCGGATAGCGTCCCTGCTTTGTGAGGGCAGACAGGTCCTCCCGGCTTTTCCGCAGCATCTTCTTGGCTCCCCGCAAGCCCCGCAGCTTCCAAAACTCAGCCCTTGCCCCCGAGGGGTTGGCACCAGAAGTGGCTTTCAGCACTGACTCCAAGCTGGCAATCTGCTCAGCCCTGGGGGAGGAGAGGGCTCAGGGCCTGCAGCCTCTGGGTTTGAGGAGCAGGTCAGAATCTGGCACCCCCGTTTGGTGGCACAGCCAGCTTCTCTCTGTGGTAGACTCCTCTCTCTGGGACTTTGGACAACTTGACCATCAGCTGCCCTACCACCCTGAGAAGAGATTTCAACAGCTCACGTTTCCCACCACTGTCCCACCAGCCCTTGCACTGCCTCTCACTGAGCCCACCATCCATGTTCCCAGCTCACTTGGGAGCCTTCTCTGGCTCTGCTTGCCTCAGGGCTGTTCCTGGCTCCCTCCCTACCTGCTCTGGTTGGGGATGATGCCCTTTTCTTGCTCCTGCAGGTCCCTGCCCATGCGCACAGCCAGCCAGCTCCCCAGCCTGCCCCGGTACATGGTGTCCAGCACGTGGAACACATCCCCACGGACAAAGCTGAGCCCTGATGGTGTATCCTTCTCAAAGTCAAAGTGTGTCCGGATGTAGAATGAGTCACCCACATTGGACGAGATCATCTTCCTGTAAACTGAAGCCCAGAGCAAGAGGGACCATCAGGGAAGGAGGTAGCTGAGGAAGATCCTGGAGAGATTTGGGAAGGCACTAGGCTGGCTGGGAGGCTCCACAGTAGCCCTTGCTGCTAAGGAGGGTATTGGGGACACCTTTTCCTCCCATGGCACTCTCAGGCATGCTGGGGACAGTAGGATCTGACTCCTACTACTGAGCCATGGTGCCAGAAAGACCCTGTGCTCCAGGAAGCCGAGGCACAAACAAGACTGGGGTGGTACAGTCCCCTCCCATCAGCCCTCTGGAAGAGGGGGGAAGGAGGACCACCCTGCAGGGACAGGAAGGGCCATGGCAAGTCCAGTAAGTCTGATGCTTGCCCAGAAGAGAGAGAGGATGGAGAGGCACAAGCCCAGGATGAGCCTGGTCACCACTCACTGTCCTGCTTGCTCTGGATCCACAGAGTGACCTCCTCGCCTGGGGGCAGGGCCATGAGATACTCCACAGCCTCCTCACGGGTCAAGTTCTGGAAATTGGTGTCATTCACCTGCCACAGAAAAGCACTTGGACATGGTCCTGCCAGCAGGACAGAGGGCATGGTCACCAGCAGGGGACCCAGGGACAGCAGTGCCCAGGGCAGAGTGGGAGAGGGAACTGTCACCCTGGAGGTGATACCCTGGGGAGATACCGGACCCAAAAGGGCTGGGGCCAGTCAAGGTGCAGCAGCATATGGAGCATTTTCAGCCTCGGATACCTGCAGGATCTGGTCACCTTCCCGAACGCCCTGGCTGTCAGCTAGGCTCCCCTCCTGCACGCTTGACACGAAGATGCCCACGTCGTTCCCACCTGTCAGCCGCAGCCCCACACTCTTGGCCTTCACAAACCGTACTACCCTGGAGCTGGTGCTGTACCTGCCACAGGGAAGTACAGTCAGCCCAGTGGGGACATACAACAGGGAGGCGCTGATCCTGTCAGCCCAATCCTGTGACATGGCAGCTCTTCATGTCCCCCAGCCATTCCTCCCTGCCTCTTGCAGACATACCCGTCCTTGTGGGCAGCTTGGGCAGCGGGGCTGGTGTGGGGGCTGTGGCCATCCCCCTCCACAGCTTCCAGAAGGTCTGCAGGAAGGAGAGCTGGTCCGGGAACAGGTCCAGGCTCTGCCAGGGCTTTGGGAAGTGGAGATGCACAGGAGCCCAGAGCCCCCTCAGTGCTCCACTCACCTGGGCCGTGAGCATCAGCTGCATTCACCTCAGGCTCCCTGTTCAATCGTCTCCTCTCCCTGGAACAAGGTCAAGCAGGATTTAGGCAGGGCACATGGGCAGTGGATACAGAAGAGCAAGCTGGGAACAGCAGTAGCACCTCCAGGGATATTGTCTTAAGAATGGAGAACCAGCATCCCCAGACAGGTGGAGAACACAGTAGCATCTGCCAGGGAACACAGGGGCTCATGGGGACAGTGTGGGCCTTACAGTGAATTTGTCCTGGCAGCAGCTGGAGATCGTGGGGAGGCCTCTGGAGATGGCGGATGGGACAGCTCAGAGTTGATGTCTGAGATATCTGCAGCCACAGGAGGGGAGATGCATCAGGGCCATGCAGCCCCTGTGCTATGTTTCTGACCCTGGCTCTGCCACAGTGTCTCTCACCGTCCATCCGGGAGCTGTCACTCTGGCTGTCAACGTCAGGGATGTTGACCAGGAACTGCCGGTGGTCACGGAGGATGTGCAGGGTCAGGATCCCCTCTGTCTGCTCAATGAGCTGCTGGGTTTCAGCCAAGGACATGTCCTGGCTGGCTACCCCATTGATCTGGAGAGGCAGAGTGGGAGGCCTTAGGGCACCTGCTCTTGGGAAAGCCACCCCCAGGAACACCCCACTGGGATAGGATGCTCTGACTGCCATCTTCCTGGTCCCTTCCAAGCCCCTCCAGCCCAACTCTAGATCCTGCAGCTTCACCTATTGTGTGTCCCTATTCCTGGCTGCTTCCCAGTGTGACCCCATTCTGTACAGAGGAAACATTAGCATGGTTCATTAACACCCACTTCTACCTTCCTAGGGCTTTGCCTGGAGGCAGGATTACACGGACCCCTCAGACACCTGAAGCTCAGGTTTCTTTTGCCCTGGGCATAGCACTGTCTTTCCATGCCCTGGCCTGGTGCAGCGAGTCAGGCCCCAAGCAGGCCCTGGGGCTGGGATCTCCATGAGTGGTAGCTGCTTTTCCCAACAGATTGTGGGATGTAATCCCTTCTGTTTACCCCAGAGTCACTTTGGCACTAGTTCCCAGCAGCCACAGGTCTCCCTGGACCAGGTGTGCAAACAAAGGGTCTCCCTCCCTTCTATTTCCTCCTCCCCAATAAAGCATCGTTTTATCTGACAAACACCTGTGACTGTCATCCAGTGGGGACACAGACACACAGTGGGGGACCACACACTGTGGAGACAGTGGGGTGGACATGACCCCAGAGTGACAGCTAGACATGCCACCAGCCCTGGCAGCAGGGAGCTGGGCCCTGAGAGCCCCTGCAGGGTCCCTAGGACAGCCAGGGAGGCTGGGGCAGGGAGTGGGCACAGACAGAACTGCCTCCAGCACGGCCGTGGCTGGGTCCTGCAGTGATACCAGCCAGGGACGAGCCCTCCAAAGAGGGGCAGATGAGACCCCCAGTGAGTGCCCTGCACTCCGGGGCCCCCCTACCTTCAGAATGAGGTCTCCCTCTTGCAAGGAGTTGCCCTTGGCCGCCAGCCCGCTCTCCACTATGTGCTTGATGAAGAGCTGACTCCCCAGCTTCAGGCCATACTCTGCACCAAAGAGAGCCACGATGGTAGCAGAATTCAGGTAGATACAAAACCCCCTCAAGGTGCCCCCTTGGCACCAATGCCACAAGCCCCAGCTCCCCTTGGGGTATTGGCAAGCCCCAAAGCTGAGCTCTGTAGCCCCCAGCTACAGGAGGCAGGAGGCTTAGTGCACTCAGCATGGCATGCACTGTCTCTCTGTTGCAGCCAGGCCCTGGCACCCACCCAGCGTTTCCTCCCTAGGGGAAGGCATGACCAAAAATCAGGCAACGCAACCCAGGGACAGCAGGAGCAGGAGGGCCTCACCTTCATTCTGCTTCTGCTTCACCAGGACTGACGTGATGGGCTTCATTGGCACATCCTGGCGCGGCAGCCGCTTAAAACCTGACACCAGGGCCAGCCCGTTGGCGTCCCCGTCCTGGCTAAAGGCATTGGCAGAGCCATGTCGGCCATGGCCCCTCCGATCTGAGCTACTCTGCATCCAGTAGCTGCTGTCCTGGCTTCGCCTCCGGCTCCGGGACGGTTTGTGGTGGCGACGGTCATCATGGTGGTGACCAGAGCTCCTCTCACTGGATGAGTCACCATCATAGCCCTGGCTATGATCCAGGTCATCCCGGGAGCGGTGCAGCCTGTAGTCTTCATCTGAATCATAGTGCCGGGGCACAGCAGGGGACCCAGGGCTGCTCTTGCTCACAGGAAGGTGAATCTTCTTCGGTCTTTTCAGCGTCTGCAGATGCAAAGTGAGCAGGAGAGGATGATGGATACAGCTGTCTCTGCCAGGAGATGTCCCTACAGCAATTCCCAAGCCCCAAACTCTGGGCATGTGTGGACAGGGGATCTGGGATGGAGACAGGCACAGTGTGAGCATGATGCCAGACCCCATTCCACCACAGAGCACACTCACAATGTTGGCGATCTTGCCACAGGTTTTAAGTGTCTGGATGGCGACGGAGGATGGGACGTTCTCCATGGAAAGGCCATTCACCATCACGATGTGATCCTTCCTCCTGGGAGGGAAAATGCAGCTGTGACTCTGTCCCAGGCACAGCTCCCAGCCTCGGGAGCTGGTAGGGTGGTGAGTATACCAAGGGATCTCATTCCAGCCAGGCAGGGGAACAGTGCTGCTGGCCCTGTCCCAGCAGGAGCGATTCTCCATCCCTCCCACCCTTGCTGGCAGCGAGCAGCACTTATAGCCCCGTGTCCCCATGTACTCACTGGAGCTGACCCATTGCTGGTCCCCCAGGCACCACATCTGAAACAAACACTGCTGTGTCCCCGGTTGTCCTGTTGGGACGATCACGGCCTCCAGAGACAGCAAATCCAAAGCCCCGGTGAGGATCCTAAATGGGCATGGGCAGAAGGGGGGTCAGGCAGAGTTGACCCCACAGACCCCATGCCCTCTCACGGTGAGGCCACCCCAGGAAAAACTCACCCTGGTCAGTGTCACTGTGTGCTGCTCCCAGATCACCATCTCCTCCATGGTGGGTTCCCACCAGCACAAGGTGGGGAGAGTGACAGTGGCAGCTGGACAGCCGGGGGGCTCTGACTCGCTCCAGCTCCTCTTTGCAGCTGCTAGCCCCTTCCCCAATCCAACATCAGGCTGCAACAGAGAGGAGCAGCAAAACTGAACCATAAGCACCAGGCTTATGAGGCTGCAGGGTACAAAGCCCCACGGTACCAGGACACTGGCACTGGCAGCTATGTCACACCCCAGCTAACCCTGCATGGCTCCGAACCCAGAGCCGCCTCTGTGCACCATGAAATCACACCCTGGGGATCCATTTCCATCCCCTCAGGCATGTGTCCATAGAAGGGGAGTTTTTACACAGGGCAAGGATAGGACTCATCTCCATGGCTGGGACCACACGGTCCTCGTGGTCTGACTCCGCTCTGTCCCCCTGGAGCCAGCAGGCCTTGGGGTGCTGGTCTGGATGGTGTTTCAGTTCTTGTCCACCCACTCTGGGCTCCAGTGTCTCTGCCAGCTGGTTTGGTAGCACCACTGCCCCAGTTTCACCATTTGGTTTCCCTAGGTTTTCCCCAAATCCAATGTTTTCCACCTAAGGCAGACAAGCCTGACTGACAGAATAATGTCCCTTTGAGGCTGAAACTCCTGGGATGGGCCCAGGGATCTCCACTCCTAAGCTCCTGGCTCCCTGGAGGGAATGTCAGCACGAACCCAGAGAGACATGGGCTCCCATGACGGTGGGAGACAGCAGGAGCAGAGCCTCCCACCAGTTCCCTTGGGGTGGGACAGAGACAGGCCACTTTGACCAGGGCCTCACAGAATCATCAAGGCAAGAAGAGGCCTTCAAGACCATCAAATCCAACTGTCACTCCAACACCACCATAATCACCCCTAAACCATGTCCCCAAGTACCACATCCAGATATCCCTTGAATGCTTCCAAGGATGATGAATCCAGCACCTCCCTGGGCAACTTATTCCCTTGCCTGCCCACTCTTTCAGTGAAAAAAAATTATCTAGTATCTAATCTGAGCCTCCATTGGTGCAACTTGAGGCCATTTCCTTCTGCTCCTTGGCAGAAAAGGCTGATCCGCATCTCACTACAATCTCCTTTTGGGAGCTGTAGAGAGCAGTGAGATCCTCTGAGCACCCTTCTCCAAACTGAACACCCCCAGTTCCCATGGCACCACACAGCCATGGTGTCTGAGGGCTCTGGAGTCACTGTACCCGTGCCGTGCTCATTCCTAACAGCCCCCCACTGCAGCCCAGACACCCTCAGGCCCAGCCAGGAAAGCCCACATTGGTGCCACAGGGAGCTCAAAACCTCCACAAGCTCTTTGGGAATTGGCCACGGGGCAGCTTTGGTGGGACACAGAGACACCTCGTGGGCAATGCTGGGGTGATGCCACATCAGGGATCTAGCAGTGGGCAAGTGAGGCAGCTCAGCCCTGGCACAAGAACATCCCATGGGCAGCCCTGCCTGGAGCAGTGCTGAGGCAGCTGGCTGAGCCCCCAAAATGAGACCAGCCTGAGCCCCTGAACCCAACTCACTGCAGCCCTGGGGAGGCCTGAGGTAATCATTCACCCAACAGGCAGGCTGCAGCCACGGGTGTGGAGGGCAGAGTCCCCTCTGCGTCACCAGCTGCTGAAACCAGCCCAAGTGCCTTCTAGCCACCCAGGGATACGTGGGACCAGGGAGTAGCTGGGGCTGCGCAGGACCCCAGTATGGCAGCACCCACTGTCCTGGCACTGGGAAAACTAATAATAAACAGGAACTCCCAGTGTGGCATTGAGGTAGTTTCAGCTGTGTTACCGGTGTTGCTTGTGCTCCCTGGGCACCTGCAGGTGACATGTGCGAGCTATAGGTCCAAGAGACACCAACGGCAACTATATGAGCAGCCAGATCATCCCCCTCACAAGGGTGGTGACATCTGCTGTGCCAGAGCCACTCCTGATGTCAGCCAACCCAGCCCCTCACTGTCCCCAGCTGGTTCCCACTATGTCCCATCACCGTGGTGCCACAAACTTGTGTTCCACTGCTGCCCATTGCTCTCCCCAGGCAGTGGCTGGGGCAGCATGGGGATGGCAGCAGCTGCAGTGGCACGGGCAGTGTGCCCACAAGCCCTGTCCCCAGTCTCCCCCCAAGATCTGGCGTAGGGCCTGCACCAGCCAAAGGCCGAGGCTGGCAGCAGGAGGAGCCGGCTCAGCCGGTTTCCAACAGAAACCAGCCCGCACCTGGAATGGCCCCGCAGGGAGAGGCAGTATCTGGGCAGAGCTGACCATGGCCCAGCCCGGCACACCCAGCACCGGGCACCGGCAGCACTGGGAGCCCCACACCGCCCCATGCTGCCCCACACATGTACCGTGTCAGCATCTCCCAGGGGTTTTGGGGCGAAACAAAGCCAAGCTGTGCTGGGACAACTTCATCCCCACGGCTAGATCCCCAGTTCGGGGCTGTGCCTGGTCCCGGGTGACACCACCAAAAATGCTCGCCATGGGGACAGCAACAAGTCGGGGGGTCATTTAGCGGAAAGTGACACACACTGCCCACCCCAGCCGTGCACACAGCCAACCCCACCACCCATAATGTTTCCCAACCTCCCTCCCTCCTCATCCTGAGAACCTCAAAGCCTTACTGGGATCAGTGAGGTCCCTGCTTTCAGCAAGTGCTTCAAAACCACTCGTCCCTTGTCCGGGACCTGAAGCAGCACTGAAGTCCCGGATCCCCCCAGAGGCTGCTCTATCCCAACCCCACCCCCACACAACGAGCGATGAGCTGATCCCGACCCCCTGCTCTGGGAAAAGGTGTCTGGAAGGGCTGCTCCGGACCGAGTGTAAATCAGCAGCAGAGAGGCACGTCCTCCAGTCCTGGGGCGTGGAGCTCTGATCCTCCGGGGTATGTCCCTGGTATGGGACAGAACTCCAGAAGGGTCACTAGGTCCTGGAGCCACCCAGAGAGGGATAAAGCATAGCCGGTTCCCCAGGTGAAAGCACGGCTGAAAGCCAGAAAGCACAGCCGATAGATCCCGGGGGACAGAATTAGGCACTCACCGAGCCTGGGATCCGACCAGGAAGGAGCCGAGCTCCCTGGCTGGTGGCAGTGGTGTCACTCCAGGGTGCCTTGCGTAACCCTTTGTGGCCCAGACTCTGCCTGCAGCGGGGAAAGAGCAGGAAGGGGGTTCCGGGGCAGCATCTCGGGCTTTGCAGGTCTCCCGAGGGGGCTGTCTCTGGTGTCCTCCACCGTGATGGAGGATGTCCTCCACCCGCACTCATCGCCCTCCCAGCTGCACCACGACAGTTCATAGGATGCTGGTAGTGGCGGTGCCTGTAGATAGGGGGTCCTCCCCCCAATCCTTGCCCTGTCCAGAGAAGCGATGGGACTCTGTCCCAGACTCCCAAACCCTCTCAGCGTAACCCACTGTCCCATGAGGGGACAGACACGGGAGCCAGCCTGGGGATCTCTGTCCTGGGAGGTGTGGGGGAAGCTGGTGATGGCTGCTGCTCCCTCTCCTCCCCTTCCCGTGCCCCTGTCCGCACCTGAGGGCCAGGCCCCTGTCATCCCTCGTCCCGCGGGGCGGCTTTCCGGCGGTAACAGCGATCAGGTCCACGCCGCGGGTCTCCACCTCCCGCCGGGGCCGGTACCGCTCGCAGCCCAGCGCCGAGGCGGCGTGGGGGGACCAGTTTCTGCGGAAGCCCCCGGCCCGCAGCCGCCACCCTGGAGCCGGCACCATGCCGCCGCCCGCCCCTCCGCTCGCTCCTCGGCACCGGCTGCTCCCAGCCGAGCTCCGCGGGGAGCGTGGAGCAGCTCCTGCCCCTCCCCAGGACCAGCCGCAGTCGGGAGCCCCTCTGGCGGGGGCCGGCGCCGCCGAGCAGCCTCATTAGTGCCGGTGGCTCCAGCGTTGCCTCCTAGTCCCAGCTACCCATCCGGGACACGCGTGGCCCCGGGGCTCCGAGAACCGGCGGGGCCGGCCCGGGCTGACCTGCGCCCCGGGGCTGACCCGGGCCGGGCGGCGCCACTAGATGGTGCCGCGGGGCCGGGAGGAACTGGGCCCCAGCCCGGGCTGGGAACCGGCGGCGCTGAACGGCGCCGGGGCCGAGCCGGGAGAAGGGAGCGTGTCCGGGTCCCGGTGCACGGCAGGCCCGGTCCAGCCCGGCGGATTGTGCGGCTACCGGGAGCTCTCGGAGACGGGAAGGGGGGGCGAGTAGGCGACGCCCGGGACCGGGAAGGCTCCTGGAGGGCCCCAGTGCAGCGGGAGCAGCGCGCTGGGAACCGAGCCGCGACGGGACGAGGGGCGCCGGTTCCGCCGTGCAGGGCCAGTCACGCTCCCGCCGGAGCCCCGCCCCTCCGCCTGAACCACGCCCCTGCTGTCATCGGCACCTACAGGCCCCGCCCCCACTGCCTTGGCGACCGACAGACTCCCCACCCCCGGGAGCCCCGCCTCCACTGCTATAGCAACTGGCTGACAGGCCCCGCCCCCACCGGAGCCCCTCCCCGGTGCCAGGGCGACCGCAGGTCCCGCCCCTCGGCCCTGTGGTGTTTCCCCCTCCACTGGAGGTGCCGCGGCCGTGGCACCGTGAGGGACCGGCGGGAGTTGCTGCGGCCTTCCTTATCCCTCGGCCCCCCCGTCGAATCCCACAGCCCGCCGCTTATCGAGATAGTCCTCAGCCGCATCGCAATTCACTCCGGCGGAAAAGCCCCGCTGTGCTTCCGCCACTGTTCGGGGCGTGTCTGGCCGCGGCGCCACCCGCGTTCTATGGTCCGCAGCGCTCCCAGGGTCCCCCGCGCCGCGGCCGGTACCCGGGAGGAGCGCGGCGGCGGGCGCTGGCCTGTCCGGGGCCTTTCTTGCCCCGGGGCTGCGCCTGCCCGCGGCCGCCATGGAGCTGGAGGTGCCTGAGGAGGCGGAGGGCTCGGCCTCGGCGGGTGCCGGTGCCATCACTCCGGAGGCCGGCGTAGGGGGATCGGACGCGTCAGGAGGTAACGCGCCGCGAGCACGGGGGACCGCCCCTGACTGTCCCCCACCCGGCCGGGCCCCGGCGTGTCTCCGTGTCTCGCCGGCTCGCAGTGGTTCAGCCCAGCCGTAACCTGGGCCGGGTCCCCCCGCGGGGCGATCGGAGTGGTTCGGTCCAGCGCGCCCCCTCCCTGGAGTGCGCCCCCCCCAGACACCGCGTGGTCCCGTCCAACTGCTGCTTCCCTTCTCCCCCAGCCCCGGGGTGGTTCCGCCCCTGTGACGGGATCCTGGGACACCGGGGGACACCGGGATGGGGCTCCCTCGTCTCTCCCCTAGGGAGTCTGGGAGCTGCGAGGGGCAGAGGCGACGCCCGGACCACCGTGCGGGCCATAGGCCGCCCACCTCCGGCACTACTCCCAGCCCCGGAACCGACCCCGGCTGGGCCTGGAAGGCTGTGGCCGGGCTGTCCTGCCCCGTCCCTTCTCGGGGGTCGCTCTCCGGAGATCACAGGGTCGGGGTGGAGGGGTTGCTCGAGGGGCCGGGCAGACCCTGGCAGCGCGGGCGGGAGGCTTTGCCACCGGCCGGGGTCCCTCCCGCCGGAGGGGGCCCGTTTGTCAGGGCCCAGAGCGAGCCCGAGCCCGGCAGCGGCATTAGCAGAAGGTTTGGGGTTCCTGAGTGGCAGGATGGATCCATGGAGCTGTGCCTGTGCACCTGCCCCCGCCTCCGCTGCTGCCTAATTATTTCTAGTTCATTAACAGCCTCAAGATTGCTGGCTGAGCTGTGCTCGTGATATTCGGCCCCGCTGCTGCTGGCCTGCCAGAGTCCGGGGTGCTCCGAGGGTTTGGCTGTGTGATGACAGCGATCTCCGTGTAGTCAGGCCTTTAAATGAGCATCATTAGATCTCCTGAGAACCAGCTAATTACAGTGGAAGCTGTGCTCGTTTCGCAGATGTCATCTGCTGCGCCGGGGGTGTGGGTGTCGTGTGTAACTTTGGGTAAGGTGCCGAGGTTTGGGCTGAGGGGAGCCGTCCCCACCTGTCCTGCTGCAGTTCCTCGGTGCTGCAAAGAAATGCAGGGGCTGCATCCTGCAGCCTGTCTTCCCAAGGCTGCTTGCTGTGCTCCCACACACCCTTGAACCTCTTTTTGGGAGTGTTCTCCCAGCACGGGTAGGGGTGGCAGGTGATGCCAAGGGAGTGAGAGAGAGCCTCTTGCTGATCAGAGTCACAGAACAGTTTGGTCTGGAAGGGACCTCAAAGCCCATCTTGTTCCACCCTTGTGCTATGGGGAAGGACACCAATGAACAATTAAAATACTGTTTATCCTTCTGATTTCTCTGTCACATATCTGGTTTTTGAGGAGGACAGACGGTTGTCACTCAGAACTAGGCGAATTGTCTATGGAGACTGTTGCTCAGGGAGGGTTTAAGCAGGGAGCGTGTATTCTTCCTGTTCCGTGAGCAAGTAAATCTGAATTTATGAACCTTAGGCTGTCTTACCTTATGCTGATAGTAAAAAAGACGAAACGTAGCCAGTAATCCCACCGATGCTTTGATTTCTCAAGTCAAGTTGCTTACTCCTCACTTGGGTAGCGTCCAAATTGTGTCACTTGGCCTCAGCTGCTCTTGCAGCTGGAGCTCCTGGGGGCTGGGGACAATGTGCACAACAGCAAATGAGTTTTTGCTGGAGAAGAGTAAATGCTGGGGGATGGAGGTGGCCTTTGATGGGCTGTGGGATGGCATGGCTGCACCTGCACAGGGTAGGCTGTGCTGCAGTTCTGGGTTTGTGACTGTGCTCCGTGGTCTGATCTGGGTGACAAATCTCCATGATTCTGGTGCCTTTGCTGCTGTGTGGAGGTGTTGAAGTGCCCATGACCCACCTACACGGGTGCCCTGTGTTGCTCCCCTTATGCTCATGGCTCTGCACGTGCTGTTGATGAAGGATCACCAGCATGGCTGAAACCTGCTGCCTGGCTCATGGCTGGAGAGGAGGCATCTGGATGCTGTGCTCCGCCTGAACAACATGGCAGGGTTAATCCAGACTGTGGGTCAGACCAGCACAAACCCTCCCCAAGCCCTCAGCAATTATAGAAAAATTTCCAGTTAATCTGATACAGGAGTAAAACTGCATGGAGAAGGGCTGGAAGTTGGGAAGGCCTTGGCAGTAGGTTGACTTAAGGTACAGAGTGTTCTAAAGGGAGCTTTTGGAAATCTCATGCTTCGAGGGAGAAAATCTTTCTTATTGCCAGCAGCAGGGCTCATTCATGAACACATAGGCCCAAATCGTCCCTTCCTGAGACCTTGGCTTTGAAGTTTTAAAAAGTTTTGTGACCAACTAGTTGAAAGGGAGTGTCAAAATCTAATGGGTGCAGATGCTGGCTGTGCCTTCTCCCTGAATCTGTACCCTCACACCCTGGGGAGGGACTGCAGAGAGTGTAAGGGACTGCGTCAGGGTTCTGGTGAGCTGTGGGCAGAAGCAGAGGTCGTGTGGAGAGGTATGGTGGGGTGACAGGTAAGTACTGGGCTTATTTTTGTTTAGGCTGGGGTACCCTGATCCGAGGGATGGTTAGGTAAGCAAATAGTCCATCACCATTCCTCCAGCCAGGCGCAGTCTGGAGACACAGGGTCTGGAAACCTTTTATTCAAGAGTGGTTGAGTTATTGGAGAGCTGCTACTACAAAAGAGCTAGCACTGTTCAAGTGTTGGACAGCAGAACTGGCCTCCACCATCTCCTTTCTAAAGTGGGAATTATCAGTCTAATAGGGAAGTAGAGTTGACATTGGATTTATTTCCTTTAGTCAGGTCTCCTATTACACAGGTTGCAGTCTGCCCATCACTTATGGTCCAGAGCTGGAGCAGAAGCCTCCAATGTGTTCTTCAAGATTGGATTCGAATGCTTTTAAGGAGCTGATGTGATATAACAAGGATTTAAACTCATGTTGGACAGCTGTCTTGCTGTACCTCTGGCTGAAGGAGCAAAATGAAGATCCCAGCCCTAGCCAGGTGTGCTGCGTGCTGGTGGCACTTGTTTGGCTGTCTCCAAAAAGCACTGGGAGAGTGTGTATTGCGACAGCCCAGGAGCAATATTGCAGCTCTTCCCTCTTAGCAGTGATAACTTTGAAGTGACTTTTGAAGGGTTGCTGGAAGCAATTTTTTCAGCGAGCAGATTAGAGATAAGAGAAGAATTCCACCCTGTGGGGCATAAGCAGTTCAATTCATACCAACTCGATGGAGAGGGGAAATTGAAGAGAGCTTATCAGCTTGAGGAAAAATCAAATGTAAACATCATCCCCAGCATGATTATGGTTCACAGCTTAGTTGGATGTCACATGCCTCTGTGGCGTGAAATGGTGCTGGCGAGGATGATTACAGAGGGAGTCAGCCAGGCAGGAACAGGCAGAAAAACACCCCGCGCCTTGAACTCTTAGAGACCCTGCAGTTACTTCACAGTCAATAAGTCACAGCTCAGCTGCAGGGAAGGAGGAAGGCAATGAAAAGAGAATTCAAGCTGCTCTGGCAAATTAATTGTTCTTTAAGATACGAATTGGCTGGAAGCAGGCAGGGGAGCTGGGATGGATGGGAGCTGGGAAGGGCAGTGTGTACAACAGGCAGGTGTGGGCACTGCCCAAAGGATGCTGAGCCTGCCTGTGTCGG